ATCTGCATCATTTGAAATGCATCAGTGCTTTTATCAATACAGTGCGATGAATTAACATTGCCCAGAATAGGCTTGGGGGCATTTAGGATATCCAAGTTTGTTGATCTAAGCACTATTATTAAAGGTAAACTGAAATAAATTACCTCAGTTACTACCAGACAATTTTTTCAGCATGGTAAATAAAATGCATTAGTTCTAGGTCATTAAATTCAATATTAGACTTTAAAAGATTCTATAATGTTATTAGTAAAACATACAGTGAAACACATGTAGTTCAGAATTACAGACAAAATGACCACTCTACTAGGATATCAGTTATTAGGATATTTTTCAGAGGACTTTTGACACAGAAGACTAATTTCCATTTTCAGAAGCTATACATGGATTGGTTTTGGCTCTCACTGCCAGCGAGGTTTCCAAATAACTAAGTCATTTCTGAAAATGGCATTCAGAACCTTTTGCTAATTTGCTCTCTATTCCTCTCTGGGTAAGAAGAAACAACATTTAGCCAATTTTGCAGGTTGAGAGAGCTGAGCAGGAACCTGTGACAGCTAGGCTTGATTTTCAGATTTTTTTTTAGCCAACTTTCTATGAATCTGAGCAAGTTCTTTGGCGTTTCTGTGCCTCGGGGCTCCTCACTGCGTGGGTAAATTGTACTCTTCACCCCTTACTTTTTTACCTGCACTATAACCTTTTTTGTGAAGGCCTGGCCCATGGTGTCTGGCCAGTGTCTAGCAAGAGAAGACACACTCCTAGCCAGAGCCTCTAGTCACTAACATACAGCCAAAAAGCCTAAAACCCTGGCAGCAACCACTGCTATATGCACTCTGTCTTGCCAGATGCCAGCAAGAAGGCTGGAAAATATCCTCCAAGAAATAATCATGGCATCTTGCACCCAATGAATCACAATAACCAAGGACAGTATATTATAGGCTGCTATTGTATTTTTCTAATAACAATAGCAGAAAAACCCTTTTAGTGCAGGCAATATGTATTTACCATTAAATCAAATCAAAAAAAAAAAAAAAGATAGGTGTAACTGTCCAAGAGTGGTGTTGGAAATTTGGTCTTTGCTGCTTGTTTTAGCATCAGAATCATTTTCTGTCTCCTTGCGAAAAACGGCCACTGCTGTCATGACCCCAAGGGATAGGGAAGAGAAACCAGGAAGACAGATTCAAAACTGGCAGAATTCATTGCAGCTCAGAATAATAATAAAAAAAAAAACATTCATAATCCAATCTGCTTCTCACATTGTGTTCAGCAACGGTTACTGTACTGGGGACAAGTCAGCTGTTCTTCAGTATCAAGAATTAACACCTGTGTTTATCCAGGTTTTGGGCAACTGGTAGGGGAACTATGCAGGATTGCAGAGAGATTTTCACAAATCGGAGTTAAAATCCTGCACCAGAAACACAGATCAGTGGAATATGGGAAAGGCCTAATAACTGCAAAGTCTAACTGCAAGGTAATGTGGTGCTTGAGCCTAACTGATAAGCAGTGGAGACTGTGCTAACGAGCCGGCCATCTGCCATTCAGAAGAGGACTAACAAAAGGCTGCGCAGGACACTCCGATGTTGTATGGAGGAGGATATGCAAACGAGGAGATGTCCAAATACAACATTTAAAGATACACAGTATGAAATGAGCATATTACAGATGATAATTGGAGCTTGCATGCATGCTTAGCATATGGACAACATAATTGCAGTTGTACAGTTAAGGAAAGCTCACAATAGCGGGTGATAATAGAAGAGCGCAGGATGCGATGTACGGAATGATGAATAGAGCGGTGCAAGAGATGAGGAATTGAATAGATGTATCTGGAAAAGAGCCACAGCTGGGATTTGTGGTTGGATTGCTAGGCAAGGTGGATGTGGTGGTGTGCTATCTGATCGCCAGTAGCGTATCAAACATCCTCTGCTGTATATCTACTATATATACTGCTGTGCCTTCTTCTATACGGTCCCGAAGAAATAAACCCTCACAGCAAATCCAGGGTTAAAAAATGCTATGGGGCAAGTCTAAGCAACAACAATCCTTGGAAGAAATGGAACTAATAGCAAATACAGGAGCAATTAATTCTGGTCTATGACATAAGTTGCTCCACTCTGGAGCGTTCTTACTAATGCGGTGACACTGAGGACTGCCACAGAGGAAGGCACCAAAAGCTGCAGCTGATTAAACAAAACATCCCTTCCTCGCCTTAAACCACCAGGCAAAAACACAAAATGGAATTTAGAATTACAGCAGCTACATGAAAATTGTAGGAGGTTCAGACAAAATTCCATTTTGAGCTCATCTCTCACTTTATGCCAGCAAATTTAATAGCAGTTTCAATAAAAAGGATGCAAACATATCCATGGGCCACCTTAAGTCACTATTGAAAGCTTAAGGAAAGCTTGTAGTTTTTGCATTGGAAATGGAGTTATGTTGATTTTGACCTTGAGTATCATTTTCTTAACTCCTTTGAAATCAACAGAATGATATAGATACTGACTGGAAATTTGTTATTTCCCTTACCCACCCACCGCATCAAAAAAAAAAAAAAAAATTAACAGCAGTGCATCCTAGCAACTTCCGTGAGCTCTCAATATGGTTTTAACTGCTATCCTGCATAAACTATCCTGAATAAAGGTAATCGTTGGAATTTTACCACTCGGTCTAAGATTTGCTGAAGTCAAAAGTAAGACTTTGTTCCTTCGGTGTGCTTGAAAAAGCCTCTCGCTTATTTGAAAGAACACAGATGTTTTACTAGCTGAACTATTTTGGAAGAAAATCACTTGGATGATTCAAATACTCCTAAACATGCAACATGCTTCATCTTCAGTGAGACTATCAAACTCCCATCTTCTGCAATAATGAAGAGAGGAAAAAAAAGAAGGAAACGTAGATTTGAAAGGAGCCAAAATGATTGTATTTCTCAGTCTGTTTTGCAGCTCTCTGAATGACCAAAATATTTTGATGTATAATTAACAGTAGAAAAAGGAAAACAAGGATATATTACAACTAACTACATTCTAACAACTGTGCTGATTCCTCACAGAGCTTAAACTCATTTTGTCCATTGAGTCCTACTTATAAAAATACATTTTTTTTTTCTGCTAAGCCACTGCAGCGCTCTCATTGCACCAAAATTTGACTTAGGCATTTTCAGAGTCTTTCATTTGCATTTAATAAAATAAGAATATTAGAACAGTAGAAATATGTGCCTGGGAATCAGAGCTACTGGTCTTTCATCTCAGTTGTCAGTGACCTTAATCAAGATTTTGTCACTTACCCAGCTACAGAGAGCTGTGCAAAGCAACTATAATGCAAAAACATAACTAATGTTGTAAAATGGCTTTGGGTCCTTTGATGAATGTCATTGCTGATTAGAGTTTTGCCCTTAAAAGCTAAGTTACCCAGGGGTAAATCTAGAGAATTTCTATCAGCTTCATGAAATTTGTCTAGATATAATAAAACCAGAATATGTGACATTAGCAGTACAGCAGCAGGACAAATTCTTCTAAAATATCAACACAGGTGTGCACAGTATTACTTTGTATTTTGTCCTTTACAGAAATAATACTCTTGTAACTTCAGCTGGAGCAAGGCTGATTGATCTTAAGTTGCACTAGAGTCAGCAAGAGCAGCAGAAGGGAGACTGAGCTTCAAGCTTGACACTACTGGACTCTTAATAAAAGTCTATATGGTGCCAGTGTGTGATCACGATCGGAAAAAACACAGGACTATTGTATTTGTGCAGAAGACTGCAGTTTTGTGGGGAGAAAAATCATCTTGTACCCATGAAAAGCTGTATTCATCACAGAGAGAGGTAATAAACTATTTACTTTGATGCTTCATTCTCTGTTCCCACTAAAGTCCGTTTAACTCATTATCATTCCAACATAGCCTACCAAATAAAAAATCAGCAGTAAACGTCTCAATAAAGCACCTCTCCCCTCATTAGGGCCACTAGGGACATCAGTGCCTAAAGCAGAAAGCTAAATAAATAACTCCTGCCCGCGGCACAGCTAATATTCCTGTTCTCATTCATCACAAAAAGTGGTTGTGGGCTGCAGTGTTCCTCCAGGGTACACAACCTCCTAAAGAGCTCTGGCCCAGCAGCACGTGTGTTTGCCAGGAGCTTCTTGCTGGCACAGCTGAAGTGGTGGGAAAAGTCAGAGACAGCTGGGCTGAGGGTGAAGGGGAATGTGTTAATTCTGCACAGCCCTTGAATGCTCTTTCTTTTCATTTCTGGTATTAAAATTGCTCCCCATGGGCATAACAGCCAAGGCAAGCCAAACACGAGGAAGGACTTGATCTAGTTCCCCACTAAATTCAGAAGAAAGACTAAGAGTTTAGCTAATAATAGAAGCTGGACTGGAACACAAATGAATGGTGTGCCAGAAGTCACTTTATTCCAGCCAAGGCTTCTTGAGGGAGCAGCAAGTGCCAGCAAGAGCGGGAATCCACGTCTTCACAACACACCTACCTGGGCAAAAGATGCCTGCATTAATTACAGGATTATTCCTGGAATGGGAAGTGGACAGCAATATAGGATGAGAAGAGCCTATGGTCTGCATGCAAGCACTGGCCCAGATGCTGCTGGACCACTGCTGTGCTAGTTACTTAGCAACACTTCACCTCTCTGCCGGCAAAAAAAAATGTTTTCATGAGGGACTATAAGCCAGAAGATTTGTTTATGCAAAATAATGCTCGTGATAGCGTTCCAAGCACTTCCTCCAACTGCCTGCCCCATTGCCTATGGAGTTCGGGAAGCTCTTGGGGACAAGGGCTGCGGTTTTCACTGCACGGCCACGAGCCCAGGGGGATTTGTGTATTAAGAAACAGTAACAGAGCCTTGTTGTTTGCATATTTTTGGTGAGGGAAGTTAGAATAGGAAATTGGAGAAGAGGATTTCAAAGGAAAGAACAGACGGAATAAATAAGAAAATAAGACGAGGGACCAGGAGAGTGAAATAAGTGAAGAAAAGACACTGCAGCTCAGGTCTAACTCACCAGATATCCATTTAGCCTCCGGGTCGTGAATTTTGAAATCAGCACTGAACAGATCGTCCACCGTTATCTTCTTCTTCTGAGACAAGCTGTTATCTTCCACTGTAAAACATTCGAAAGCAAACAGCTTTTACTGCTAATTTGAGATGCATCTGAAAATAGAGCAGCTATGAGCGCCATATCATATCTCATTTGGCAACGATCCACACTGAGCTTTCTGCCGTGCACAGGCCCCTCTGCAGTGTCGGGCATTATAAAAGGACCAGTTTGTAGTCCATAGTTAGAGACCATCTTACTAATACTGCACAGCTGTTTAAGCTTGAATACAATAACTGCAAAAACATCACTGTATGGTTCAAAACATACACACTGTCAAAAAAAAATTAAAAAAAAAGGTAAGAACAACCCTACACAGTTCTGACTGTACTGAAAGATACTAAAACTATTCTGAATACTAGGGCTGCTCTGCAATTGTTAATTGAAACAATAGAAACTATAAAGTAACCTAGTTTCCAGAATTTAGATTTTTATTCCCTTAAAAATGTCACACAGGACTGGACTTGCATTTTGACTTCTGTAGTTGCAGATAGATTATTTTAGATATTTCCAAAGGACTTTAAGCAAGAATCCAGCACTCAACTGCACAGATATTTTTGAAAAGCCTGTGGGATATGACCCCTGAGTAAGGTGGTGTAGATAATAATCTTCATTTTTAGCAAAAGGACATAAAACTTCACTTGCATACTCGACTGCAGCATGCAAACTTCAAACTGAAGAATCAGACTGCAATTTTCAGATTCTGGAAATTCAGATAGTAACAGACAGTGTCCCTCAATTCCTTCACCCTTCTCTGTTCTGTAGCACGCTCTTTACCCTGCAAAGATACACTCATCCTCTTCTGCTGTCTTTCATACAATCATCTTAAGTCTTGTGTAACACAGAAACAATAAGAATATATATATTAATCTGTAAATAACAATTAAATGACAATTTTAAGACTGAAAGTGTGGTTACTTATTAAGGGAAAGGCAAGGGAAAGGCAAGGGAAAGGCAAGGGAAAGGCAAGGGAAAGGCAAGGGAAAGGCAAGGGAAAGGCAAGGGAAACACTAGAAAGTAGCTTATGGTGTTGCAGAATTTTTAAACAAGGCACAAAATTAACCTCTTGAGATTGACTACTGGCCTCTCTTCCTATAGTTAAATATCTTCTCATTTGCCTCAATACTTCTCTGTAATATAGTGGTTATATAAACACAGCAGAGGTTCTTGGGCCTATCATTAAAGCATATATGTTAAAGTTCATAAAGTGTATACGTTAAGTTCATCTTACAGATGAAAAGCGTACACCTTGCATCTCAGTTTTTTTTTTTTTTTTTCTGAAAAACATTTTCATGGAATCTCTGCAATCAGTCCTAAATGTGTTTGCTCTCTAATGAAGCAGATTAAGCCACATTCTGAGGATTTCCACAGCAGGTCTCTGTGCTTCAGTGTCTCTCATCACTATAGCATTCTAGTGCCTGAGGTCTACTGGCATCATGTAGCCTTAAGTATTTTTAACATTGTTTAGTACTAAACCTGCTACAGTGACTGAACAGACGGGTGATTAGAAACTGTGCAGTTTTATTCCTTTCAGTGTTCAGGGTTTTTCTTTTCTTTTTTTTTTTTTTTTTTTAGGAGAAAAGTCTATTTTTATTTCACTAAGCTGAAGCTCCAGAGCTACTTGAAAGCATTGCAAATTAACTACAAAAAATATCTTGTCCCACTAAAAGCTGTTATAATATAAATTAGTATTTTTACCAAAATATAGCATATTCTGAAAATTTCATAATTTTAAGCCTGGTCGAGCTTTCAATCACACTGCTGAATTTGGCTTCTAAAGGAACAAAGCACACTAATACAAATTGTCTGCCAAATCCCTCTATGTGATAATGTCATGCCAAGTTCTTTGTCATAATCTTATTTATTAAAAGGAAAAACATAGGTCAGAGGAAGCTCCTGCAGTCAGTTCCCACCATGGCACAAGGTCCTTGTGCTGGGGACCCAGTGAGTTCAGGTCATGCAGAGCACAAGTCTTGCAGGATCACAGCTGGTTCAGGCACCAGTTCTCAAGAAGTCACTCCAAAGAAGAAACTATATCCCAAGGCTCGATTCCTCCTGGTACACAGCAAGGGACAGGCACAACCATTCACTCTGTGCCAACGTTAGGCTGGTCTCACCATAGCATCGTGGAAGCTCAAACACCTCTCAAAGGGCATCAGGAAGAGGGAGAGGCAGCAACTGAAGCACACATGCACATCAGCCTCCCTCAAACATCTTTCTCTTGGAGACTGTTACTGTCTCCAGCAGTATAGATCCTGTAATGCACCATGGATAACATCAGTTCCTTCTATATCGGGAGAAAAAAAAATCAATGATTTTTAGTGAAAAAAAAAAGATTTACTGATCTCTTATCTAATATGTAGGTTAGGTCAGTTGGAGCATTCCTTAAGAATGCCTTCTCCATTCCTCTGACACCCATGGAAACATTTGCAGAGAAAGAACTGCAACTGTAGGATCCACGCTGTCCCCAGTAGCACTCTGTAGAGTCTAAGCTGTGACTGGTGAACCAGCTGATGAACACAAACCAGGTGGAGAACACAAGCTGTGTCCACACACAACTGCAGAGACCTTGGGGCTTCCTTAGGTTTATGGAGGGAGGGGATGAGACACGTGCCACCACCTCCTTTGCACTGATATCCCCACCATGAGAGGGCCCAGATGCCCCTGCCAACCAGGTGCTAACTGCACAGCAGCATACAATCAGTGTGGGGAATCAAAGAACGCGGGACATGAGAGTCAAATCAAATCCCACCCACACAACAGCATTGAGCACATGCTGAGAGAAAAAATGGTGTATAAGCCATGTTATATGCTTTTAAAATGGTGTATAAGACACATTCACATACAACAGTTACGAATAAACAAACTAAACACTTGCACAGCTGCTCACAGAAGGACGTTTCCTTGCTACTCCTGACTAGCAAAGTTACACTAGGATCACTGGGCAATGCATGTGGCTGTCTGACAGTGTACTGTGAATTAATGCCACCCAAGGACTACTGTCAGCATCATTTCTGTAAAAAATGTTTCCTTGATTTTTTAAAAAAAAATAATATGGAATTGGATGTTCTTTTTTACTTTTTCTTCATCTAAAGGTCAGATTTGAAAGGAACAAACTTGATATATATCTCCACAAAGCTCAGGAAGAGAGCTGCAGAAAGTCCTTGCTTGTCTTACCAGAGGGGGCCTTATACAGCAGTCTTTTCCTAGGCAAAATGTTTAATGGATTTTTTTTTTTTTTTTTTTTTTAGTTTTGAAGCAAAGTTTCTGATGAATTTGATCTTCTCTTTGATGTGTGTGTGTGTGAACATGAATATTAACTTCTGCGCGTGTTAATACAAATACACACACAACACTTCTCGGAGAGGACTCATACAGTTATCACACACTGCGACAAGTGAGCAATCATCAGTCAGGGATTTCATTCCCTAGGGTGAAATCCCACACATTTATCATTTATATGAAGAGCTTCTTATTTTTCAGAGGTGGGTGGAATGGCAGGTCTCACCCACACGTGATAGACTCCTTCAGAGTAGGCGATTGCACGCATGCAGTATATTATAACTAAATACAAGCTTTCACCAGTTATTGCTTCTTTGGAAAATGCTGTTCTAGACTATCAAAAGACGTACAAATCACAGGAATATTGATTTGTTATTAGAGTTTTATAAAATAAGATCAAAACATTAGCTATCAATAAAGCACTGCTGTTGTAATTACGATGCCTGCTGAATGCAAGAAATGGTGCTCACAGTTTGTGAGCTGATCTTATGCAGAATTAATGTCTTCCTTCAAAGAAATTCAAGCTAGTAGGGATTTCAGCCTTTCCAAAGCTGAATACAGAGGTAAAACCTTTTTTAAGGCTGTGAATTGATTTGCAAAAGAAACTCAAGAAGGTAAATAAATCCCTTTTCCTCAGTTATTAAACAGCTTAATCGGCATCTGCTCTGCTAAGCAAACCTTTCTCATTCTCTATTGTATCTCACTCTTTCTTTTGCAGGAGACTGTGCAGATTTTCACAGCGCAGGGGAAACTTGCCACCGTGATGCAAGACATGGGTCCAACTAACCATTTTTCTTTGCACACAGTTGCAAGCCTGCATTCTACCCTGTATTCCAGACATGCCTCAAATCACTCTCTTTAGACATTCATGGTGTTCGTTGCTGTTTTTATAGCATCTGCTCACCACATGCCTTAGTGTAGCATTGAAAAAATAGGCCTTCAAATCAGTAGCAAAATACTGAAAGAAGGCGACTTCCAAGAGAGTGAGATGGCCACTATAGGCAGGTGTTAGTGGAAAAAATCAGAGGTAAAAGGATAAGGGATATTGTACTAGCAGGACAGTGTCAGCTTGAACTCCAACATTGTCATCAGAAGAAAGACCTAAAAATTTTAAAGTATTGTCAAGCATTTTGTTCTGCCCATGTCAGACTTCATCACCCCACCTGAGACATTTCCAATTGGGAGTCTTCTTTTTTTTTTTTTTTTTCACCAATGCTGCTCTCACGCTTGGCAGCAGTTTCTCGTGAACATTCACAGAGCTGCTTCACTGCCTTCCTTTGTTATCCTCTGTCCTTTCCTCTGCTTTGAATCAAACATTTATCACTTATTTTTCAATTTGGCTGCCAAAGGATAAACAAATCTCCTCTAGTGAGGAATTATATGGAAGGTAAGTGCAGACCCCTCTTTCTTCCCCTTCTGGACAGGCTCCCTAGGTTTTCCCCAATCCTACCTTGCTAGGAAGTACTATCTACAGTCAGGATTAGCAATTCAGTACTTGTTACATTTGCCAAGCCAATCTCAATGTCTCACTTAACACTGACTGGCAGGCAAAGCCTGTGGAATGAGCCTCCCATTACCCTGCACCATAGTGTGTCCTTGTAACAAGCTCCAGGACCAGTGGCCCAGGAGAAGACTGAACTCTGCTGCTGCCAAGTCACAGCAGCAGCTTAAACTCTCTGATTTTATCCTTGATGGAGTCTCACCATGAAGCAGACTGTATCCATAATAATAATAATAATAATAATAATAATAATACAGACACAGTATTGAGCTCAAAAGTTTTGTAATCATATGTGGGAGAAGGTTCTGAAACATCTGCAGGGAAACTCCAATCCAAATCCAGTCTAAGCAAATAGAGTAGTTGGAAATCTCAGAAACCATGAAAATTTAGCAAAGAAAATGACATTGGATATTCCAAAGATATAAACAAAGAGGCTCCCTCTAAGGCGCTATTTGGAGCTGTTGCTAAGTACATACTAACAACTGTGTGATTTATGGCTATATGCATATACACATATTCATCCCAAGGAGACTATATTTTTTGCGTATGCACATACAAATATAAACACACAAATACACATGTGAATTTTATGTATAATACTGAATATGTGGACTCCACATTTCCATATCAAACCACATAAAATAAAAACTCATCATAATAACTCATGTGTACTCCTGTCTTTCAAAATTAGAGCACACTACTTCAGAAGAGAACTGTAGGGTGTCAATGCTGAGTACATTATTTCTGTTGAGGCACTTGCCTCAATACCACCTCTGCAGTGCCTCTAGTCTTAACAGTCATTAGTGAGTTTTATGTGTCATTTCTTCTATAGAGAAGTTGGAGCAAAATTTAGAAGTCCTACATAAAATCTATGCTGAGCCCAGAATTAAAACAAGTGCTAAATTTTCAAAGGATTTTATTCTGACTCCACATCATATAAGATCCTTACAAAAAAAAATCCTTATTACAGGTAATCGTGGAAAAAGAAAGACTCCAATTTAGAGTGTATGGGAGACTGTGCAGGTATATTTAAACTGTTGCTCATGTATCTATCTATATGGATATATATATAAGTGGGAGCTGTAACCATGTTCATATTTATGCAGTCTGATTTATCTGAACTACTGACAATTTCTGGAAGGCCCTAAATATGAATTTAGGAATCTAAGATTGAACATTCATTTTTGAAAAGTCTACACCATACTTCTGTAAAATAAAAGATAACATTTCCAAGCTAATGGGGAAGGAACAATATTCATCACTGCAAACATATTTTTCCTGGTGGGATTACAGATCCCAACAGATACAACCAAAGCATCTCAGAGAACATTTAGATGAACTGAACTGTCCAAGGGTGTTAAATCTGCTCCCTAGTGAAAACAATTTAAAGAAAAACCTTAATAAAATCTTAACATTACTGAATTTAATTACTGTCTGCCATGACAGTCAAAAAATGCAAACGTGCCTTAACCCAGCTGAAATCTCCAGATTCTACCCTGATAAAATCTTTAACATAGTTAAAAAGTCTTAAAGTAAGAGATAGGTCCCCACTGCATTTCAAACAGCACCACTATAGCTAATGCTACATCTGTTTATATCAGCCAAGGACCCAACACCAAATTCTTCAGCACATTGAAAACTTTGGGATAGCAGGAAATAAACTGCACACAGAATGAAGTTAAATGACCAGAAAGAGGACTGTTTCACTCATCTTCAAATTTAACTCAGTGAAATCCTGTATTTCTTACTTTATCACTGCCTACCCTACAGTAGAACTGTAGAGTGAGAGCTGAGACAGAGAAGAGAGCCAACATGAGCTGAACTGCATGTCAGCTCACGTACTACAGGCTCTTTTAAACTTCCTCCTCACAACTTACATCTCATCTTTGTCACTTCATCACCCTATGCTCTTCTTCACACTGTTTTCATTCCTCTCTGTTCCTCTTCTCAGCTGACTACTTTCTATCATGTTGTCCCCTAGGATCATCCGCCTGCACTCATCCACGGAGGATCCCCATTTCTTCTCTTCTAAACATCTCCACAGGGAACATCTTGCCTTCTATGGTTTGTAACTTCTAACCTTTCGTGACACCTTTTGTCTCCTGTGCCTCATCTTTCATTTGTTTGCCTTTTCTTTTCTGGATCACAAGCTTTTCAGAGCCACAAAAGCGCTTTATTTCTGCTCTGTAACTAGTCTCAGAAAGTTACTGTATAAACATGCAATGATCAATAATCTCAATGATATCACATAAAAATCAAGGCTATAGCCTCAGCAGCTACTGCGAGGAGTTTACAAAGGCTATCTGTATAGAACATTGCTGAAACTTGGTGATAGGATTATTTTAAAGAATGTCTCACTGGGAAGATACTAATTACCTTCTGTCTAAGTGCTATCTAGCGCATAGTTATCTGGAACTGATTTGGCAAGCTGTAGCATTAAAGTCTGATCTAAAATCAATCAAATACACAGGCAGATTGGATGGGATTTAGGTGCCTAAATATAAGCATCCAGTACTGTTTGAGTAGTCCATTTTCACAGCTGATACCACGGGTATCTAAATGACTCTGTGTTTTGGCAACCAAGTTTCACACTAGTATCTTCAGTTCAGTTGTCCTAGTCTTTCATAGAAATGCAAAATTCTAAACTAATCTACCTGAGAAAGCCTTGAACTCAATGTCACATCACTCTAAAGAACAGTAAGGATGATTTGCAATCATTTTGCAATCCCCATTTTGCCCTTAGAAGTGTGAAATTACAGAGGAAAAACACAATGAAAGTGAGTTAAAGGTGATAAATACCTGGCGTCAGGAGTATAACAGAGGTGACAATCAGGGAGCAGATAACGAGAATAACAAGTAAGGCAATTGCAATTCCTTTCCAGTTTCTCTGTGGAGGATTACTCCCCACCAGCTCCTAGAAATATCAAAGGAAAGTGAACATTTAGTAAGGGCGCTTAGACAAGGAAACAAAACAGCAAGGTTTTCTTGTAAAACCACACCATGTACTCCATAGTTGTGATAATGGAAGCAAGTAAGCTAACCATAGCTCATGCTAGTTTAATACATCATGGTATTAATTTAATTCATTCCACATCAGATTACATAATCAATAAATGGAAGGAGTCAAGCATAATCTGGTGTTTCACCTCTGCGATGAGTATTCCTGTGTGAGGGCAGGTAAGCCTTGCTCTGATCCTTGGGGCACTGTCACTGCTGACAGCCACCTCCCTCTGCCTCTAATTCCCTAGACTCCTCCTCAGGAGCAGAGGGATGAAGAGGAAGGATCTGCCATCCCCAGGCTGCCTCTAAAAGCTGCAGAGCTATCATTTGGCAGCCACTAATTAGGAACAAGGGGAAAACAGCCAAAGGTTAGAGCAGAAGGCCAACACAGGGTACGTGGTCTTCAAGCAGGCAGGACCAAGGGACTGGGAGGGCCAGAGGACACACAGCAACACAACCCACCCTTCCCACCACTTCCTCATGCCCAGGCTCCAGTGGCCTGTACCAAGACGTAGCTGAATTCACTTATTAAAATGCAATTGATTACCTCTTCTCATTAAGGCTGAGAACAGAGTATTGCAGTAGCTTTAAAGGGACTTTGATGATAAGATGCCAGAGAAGGATATGGGAAGATAAATAATTAACAGGGTCATGTATAGAAATTAAAAACCAAGGAGAATATCCCCACCGTGACCTTTTATCTCCTCAGAAAACTTCATGCCTCCCTTCATGCCATTCGTTGGTAGGTCTAAGGACATTCTGACATGCCATGTCTAACATCTACATTATATTTAATCATGATCTTAAAATATTAGAATAAATACTCCATCAGTATTGACTGACTGGTTTGACTTGAATGTGGTTTTACCATATGTCTTCTACATGTGTACAACCTCTGCTCTCATGGTGAAGATTTTATGAAGTGCTGTGTTCACATGCAAAAGATCTTAAATACTTATTGCACTTTATCCCTTTCTTTTCTTTGGAAAAAATAAAAAGACTAAGCCTTGTAATAGATTCAGTTCTTCTGCAATCCTGAGGATAATTTCACTTCCCATTATATATATACATAATGAGCAGAGAATTTGGCAAATGTCAGTTTTGATGTCAGGGAAACACTGGGAAAATAATGTGGAACAAACTTTTTTTTTT